TTGCGTGGATGAAGAAACCGGCATAGTGACCGGCGAAGGGTCACTTGTGCCAGACGATCCAAAAGCCATGAAGGAGCAAGCAGCAGCCATCAACACAGTCACAAATGCGAAAGGCATACCCGCCCCGGTGACGCCTGTTGTTGAATTGAAACGAGCCTCGGCACTGCATACGCGCGCCGACTCGGCGGGAGGGAATAGAACACCAGGGGCTTCGCCGGCGCCGTCCCAGAGAGGTGACAATCAGAGAGCGGTAGAGGAACGATCACGTGCAATTCAGGAAATGACAGACAAGGTATTGCGGCTGTTGAGAAAGACCCGCTTGCAAGTCAGAGTTATTGTGGAGGTGCTGCATTGCAAGAATCCGCGACACTTGATCACAGAAGTGATTGATATAATCAACCCCACGTTGGTGGTCATCGGTAGCAGAGGTCGCAGCGCCTTGAAAGGGTAAGTGTCCCCCGGAACCGACATGTTTGGTGAGCTCACGACTAACAGAAGGCGCAAATCAACAGTGTCATCCTGGGATCATTTTCCAACTATCTCGTGACAAAGAGTTCAGTGCCAGTCATGGTGGCAAGGAAGAGGCTCCGAAAGCAGAGCAAGTACAAGCAGAAGGCCGTCAAGCAGGTGAACAATATTAGCAACCCGGCGGCCCGTAGCCTGGCAAATGCCAAGATTGACTAAGAGCGCTGACGTGAATGGGGGGGATGGCGGCTTTTTCGGCACATTGCGGAGGTTGCAGAAACACGGAAGAAGATGGTAGTATTCCGCTTTTTGACTTGTCTGGGTGTGTGCATGAGTTGACACTACGGAATACGATAGCGATAAAGCAGAAATGCACATGTGTGATCAAAGGGGTGTTTTAATATTGCATTTCGTGACCTTTGGAGGCGCTGGTGATGGTGAAGTTGGCAAGGGGAAAGAAAGAGGAGGGTGTTCAGGAGTAGTCGAGCGGCAGAGGCCGAGGGTAGGTCAAAGGGTGCGGCCCTCTGGAGTGGACATGGTTGGAACCGCCCCACCTCTAGAGCTGCTACCCGCCTTCCCGCCCACTCGAACCCACTCGAGAACATGCGTCGGCACTGAAAGGTACGGGGTACGGCTCTGTAGTACATACAAAATACTAAACAAATAAGCCGCAACCGGAAATTTTGACGCCGGTGGAAAAGGCCAGTCCGCAGAAGTTAAAGTGCTTTTTGCACCGGCGATTGTCAAGTATAAAGTGCCTACTACTCTGTAACCACTAGGTGCCTAGATAGTTGGTCTGCGACAAGCGAGAGGTAGGTACCTACTAAGTACCTATACGGAGTACCTAAGGAACCTTGGAAGGTAAGGTATGTGTATTGGATGGCCCAAGGTGGGAGATGATTGGCCGGCGGGCATGGAAAAGGGAAGCTCCTGCACTTTGTATGGCTGCCCTGGGCTCCCCTGGCCCCACGACTCCCCAACCTCTCGATTTCGAAATGCTCACAGCATCCCACAGCATCCCACCACCCTGGTCCTCCTCCGTGAAATGGGCAGAGGCCCAAACATGAGGCCCAAGTGTGAGTGGGCGAGCCTTCAAGATGCCATCGTATCCAATGGACACCCCCCGACCGAAGCCTCTTCTGATTCCTTTTTCCCTCTTTTGCAAACCCATGCGGTCGCTGACTACGACGACGACATACCTATTTGAACACGCAGAGAACTGAGAATCAACGATTAGTCCAGGGCCTTGGTTCTACGTTTCTACAAGGCAAAGATCGAGAACTGGCTGGCTACGGTGCCAACAGCTCAAGTAGACGACGGAGCAGCCTCTTGGGTCACCGGGTCAAGGTGCCCTTTGCAGAAAGCCCGTCCTGCGTATTTGATGCGCGCACTGAGATCAGAGAGGGACCCAGGCTGGTGGGCATAAGAGAGAGACAGAGAGAGAGAAAGAAAGAGAACAGTCCATGTTCACTTTCATCCAGGCCGCCGACATCGCCATCGCCGCCAAATGTGTTTCAAAGGCTCCATGCCTTCGCTTGTCACTGTCAACAACAGCGTTTCACTTATCAGCATCACTGTTGCGCCAAGTACGTGGCTAGCCACAGTTATTGTCATCTTCGTCCTTGTTGTCCTCTACCTACCCAAGATATCGTTCCGCATTCCGCGATTCACTTTACCAAGACTTCCTTCACTGCCCTCTCTGCCGGGACTGCCGACACCTCAGCGTAGCAGCGCTTATACTGTCGACAAGCCTCTGCCCCCTCCTCCACAAGGCCGCCAACTGGTGCTTCAGGATCAATCAATTGTTGTGGCGCGCCACTTAGCAAGTAGCAGCGCATATTCGAATTCTGTTAGCAATGACATCACCACCAACAGAGGAGGTCGAACCCCTAGACGACCTCGACGCCTCCTTACGGGACTTCGAACCTCCAATCAGCCCGATTTCGATGCGTCACTCGTCAGCGCTCCCAAGCGAGCCAGCAACGGAGGATCTCGAGGACTCAGACACCGGTTCAGCCGGTGGGTTCTCGCCGCCGGCATGGCGGAGACTAGGCAACGGCGACAGGAGCCGCGGCTTCTGGAAGCAACACCCTCGTCTGCCAAAGCGCCAGCGACGGCTTAGTAGAGAAACATCGCCGGGCTCAGATGTGAGCGACTCGGATGACGACGATGTCGAGGATGATGTACTTCAGCAGGCCATTCGAACAAGGCTACCGGCGGGAAGCCAGAGTCCGGAGAAGGGACGAAGTCCAAGCCCAGAAAGAGGTGAAGATGTGACGTTGAAAGTGGAAAACATCAGTCCTACTACCCCCAAGGCTAATTCAAGGGAGTCACCGGGACCAGATAACTGTAAGTCCTTCATATCACTTGCAATAATATACTTGTGTGCCTGACGTCGCGAAGCGCTAACATCATACCCCAGATTTCCGCTTCGCCGTCCGTGCAGAAGTCCAACAACGAACAAAGCCCATAGAAGCTGCTGTCTTGTTCTCACAGCGACGGTATCGCGCTCTAACCAAGGGCTGGATGTCGATTGTGTCCGGCATCCTAGTTGCCGTTCTCTCTATATCAACCCTCAGAGTGTTGGTCAAGCCAGCAGCACCACGACCGGTCGGCGATCTAGTCAAAGTCGCCGGGATCGCACGCTCCTTCGAGCCCCTCATCTATTTCTCAGAGCCAGCCGTCGCACATGTCAAGGATCTTCAGTCAACGAGTATTGCTGTCTGGGACCTTGCCGAGTCTGTGCGAGTCAGCGGGATGGCTGACGCGGAAATCATTGTTGACAACCTAGATTCCATCAGCGAGGCCATGAAGAAGCTTGTGCTTGAACTGACCAAGTTCCATACCCACGTTGACGGCGACATCGACAGGTATAATACGCACAATCCATGCCCCCCCTTTTCACCATCTACAAAAACTAACTTCGCCCTCGCACACCAGCATCCTCAGTGTGATGGAATGGGCAAAAATGCACCTCGACCGCCTCAACTCCCGCCCGCCCCCATCTTCCCTTTCCCACGCCTACGACAACATCCACAACTTCCTCACAACCACAGCCATCCTCGAAGACGCCCACGGTCACCCCACGCGCGTCGGCCGCCTCACAACCACCATATTTGGCATGTCCAACCCCCAGCGCGAACAACGCATGGTGCAACTCCTCTTTAACAGCTTCCTCTCCACCCTCGAGGAAGCCATCCAGGCCGAGCTCGAGAACTCTGTCTCCTTATTCGCCCTCTTCGACGACATTGACGCGCACTTCCTCAAACTCGCCCGCACGGTCGCCCATGAGACATCCACCCAGGAGGAATTCCAAACCGAGCTCCTCTCTGGCCTGTGGGCGCGCATCCTCGGCCCCCGAGCCGCTGAATTGCGCAAGTTCGAAAAGAACCGCGCCCTACTACATGACGTTCGGTCCAAAACTATCCGTAACAAGGGAAATTTAGTCGGCCATCACGGAAAATTGCTCACCTTGAAGTCATCCCTCGAGAGTCTGCGCGGCAAATTGGCCAGTCAACTCGTTCGGGGCCTCAATTCATCGACCCTCACTCTGGAGGATCAGATACGAGGCATCGTTCAGGTGAGGGATTACCTGTCTGATGTGAGGAGTCAGCAGAAGACGAAAGTCATGGAGACGTTGTACTCGATTGATAGGAGCCGCAAATATGTCTATCATGAGATAGATGAGGGGCGTCACGTTGAGGCTGGGCCGATGTAGTTTGTGCGAGCTTCACCCGCAAAGTTTCTGGGATTGGGCGTATGGTTTGTCGAATGGAAATTAAAGGGTCTGACTTGATTTTGAGCGCTTGGGATTTTATACTCGGGTTACTGTTTTGTGAAGAGCAACGACTCGTTTGGATGGGGTTGGCGTTGACAGCCCTGACGGTGTAAGCATGGCACTTTTTGGTTCGTCTATATATGTAGTATCCAGCAATCTATCACAGTTCATCACGCCTTGAGCATAATCATTGGGATCTCATAGTCTGGCTGGCTCGTCAGTACACCCACCTCCCATACGTAAGGCCGACATGTTTCAGAAAATCATTTATTCGATCTCCTACTATCATAAGCTTCTTCTTGTGTCAATTTGGCCTCTCACAACGTAGGCCTGTCCGTCTGTCAGGGGGTATAAGCCTACTTCAGGCGGTTCTTCACAAAAACCAACAACCTTCCAACGCCTCTTAAAACGAGCTTCACCCGTCGTCCTTTAGCCACACTGCTACCACGCCGGGTAGCCAAGTAGCTGTTCGATTTGCCCTCCCCACTTGGAGGACGGTGTCTCCATTCCTTCGCGGAGCAAGACATAGCAAAGAAGTCTATCTGTACATAATGCAAACCTTTCGGATATGTGGGCCATAAGCCGGGGCGTAAAAAAATGTTCCTGCCTCCCACCATCTTGTCCGAAAAATAAACCACACCCAGAAATAGGAGTTCAGCACGGAGCTGAAAGAATATTAACAAAGGAAATCAAACAAAAGGAATATCATTTAACTTTTAAAAAGGAATTGGTGACAAGGCCTCGACTTTTGGTCACTTTAAGCCTTGGTCTCTTCTTCCTTCTTAGCCTCGCCCGCCTCGGCACCTTCGTTGCCCTGTGATTTGACGTACTCGTCGTAGACAGCAAGTGCCTCGTCGACCTTGGCCTTCAGAGCAACGTCATCCTCAATCCTATAAGTGAATTAGTTTAAAGAATTAGATAAATAAAGGAATGCGTATCATGGGGAAATGCTTACAGGTTGACGAGCTCACTGTTCTCCATCTCCAAGAGCATACCAGTGATCTTTCCGGCAAGCTCAGAATTGATGGCCTGAATCTTGGGGAAGATGATCTCACCCAGGATCTGCTTCTGCTGGGCGGGTTGGGCACCGGCAAGCTGAGACTGCAGCACAGAGGCATTGTTTCCCTCGCCCCGGCCAGCCTGATTGGGACCATTGGCGTTGTTGTTACGGCCATTTCCACGGCCAGCACCCTGACGATTGTTGGGCGGGTATCCAGGCATACCACCAGGACCAGCGTTAGGAGGCGGCACACCACGGCCACCCTGAGGAGCGCCGCGACCACCCATGGCAGCCTGCTGAGCCTGCATAGCAGCCATGAACTGAGGAGTGCCGGGTTGGCCGTACTGGGGAGGAAATTGTCCGGGCATACCGTACATGTTGGGGGGCATCTGCTGGGGAACACCACCACGGCCACCTTGCTGAGGGTAGCCAGGGAACTGACCAGGTCGACCACCCTGGACACCGCCCATGCCGATGCCAGGCTGAGGGAATGGCATACCACGGCCACCTTGTGGTATAAAGCCCGGCTGTTGGCCGTAGAAAACGGGAGGCTGCATGTACTGCTGAGGCATACCGGCCGCGGCAGCAGCTTGCTGCATACGCAGCTGGTTGCGAGCCTGGATACTGGCCTCGAGCTGGCTCTTGCGAACATCCTTGCGCTGAGCCAGAGCAACATACAGGGGCTTGCCGTTGATCATGCGTTGGTTCATCTCAGCAACAGCCTTGGTGGCATCATCAGGATTGCTGAAGCAGACGAAACCAAAGCCCTTGCTCTTACCAAGTTTCTTGTCACCCTTCTTATCAGCTTTCTTGTCGGCGTCTTCCTCCTCGGTCTCCTTGGCTTCCTCCTTGGCCTCAGGCTCCTTCTCGTTGTCTTCTTCCTTCTCCTTATCGTCGTCGGATCCATCGGAAGGAGCATCCCTCATCACCTTGGCGGAGGTGATGGGGCCAAACTCGGCAAACATCTGGCGGAGCTTCTCATCATCCACATCGTCATCAAGGTTCTTGATGTAGAGGTTGACACCCTGGTACTTATTGGCTTTTTCCAGACGAGCAGCTTCGTATGATTTGCGCAGCTCCTCCTCACGCTCATGCTTCTTCTGGGCACGGCCAACGTAAAGGTCCTGGCCACGGAAGTCCTTACCGTGGAGCTCCTCGACAGCCTTGGCGGCGCTTTCATGGGTGGTGAAATTGACAAAACCGAAGCCACGGCTCTTGCCCTCCTGATCACGGGCAAGAGAAGAAGACGTGATGTCACCATACTTCTCGAAGAGCTCACGGAACTCGTCGTCGGAGGCCTCAGTGCTGATATTCTTGATGTAAATGTTGGTAAAGTTAGCTTTCATCTCCTCAAACTTGCTCTGACGGTCCTTCTTCGGGATGTGATGACCGACGTAGACCTTCTTCTCGTTGAGAAGCATGCCATTAACGTGCTTGATGGCCTGGTGAGCAGCCTCGTCCGTCTCGTAATGGACAAAACCATAGCCCTTGGAGTTGCCGTTCTCGTCCTGGGCAACCTTGCAGCTCAGAATGTTGCCAAAGGCAGCAAAGGTATCATGGAGAGCCTTGTTGTCAATGGCAACATCCAAGTTCTTGATGAAGACATTGCCCTGGCCAGTCTTGCGGAGAGCAGGGTCACGCTGAGACCACATGATGCGGCACGGGCGGCCCTTGATGAGGGTGTAATTGAGCTCCTCCAGAGCCTTCTCTCCATCAGCAGTAGAGTTGTAATTGACGTAGGCATAGCCCAGAGAGCGACGCGTGACGGCATCACGACAGACACGGATGGAGGCGACAGCACCGATCTGGGAGAAGAGCTCGAAGAGCATGGCCTCGGTGACAGAGGGATCAAGCTCTCCAACGTAGAGAGAGGCGGAGTTCTGAGGATGGGGAGCAGCGGAGCTAGGAGTGGGAGCAGAGGCGTCTTCGGAGCCTGCAGTGCCGACCGTGGTGTCGACAGTGGGCTTGGCATCGCCGCTGCCATTATTGAGGGAGGTGTTGTTGAGGTCGGTGGCAAGCTGGTCAACAGCGCCGGAGGTAGTGTTGGCGGCCATTTTGATGTCGAGAACGTGGAAAATCGATAGTCTAGAGGGGACAAGGTGGTTCTCAGGTTAGCAGGCAGGTGGCCTGTGGTAAGAGCAAGACCGAGATTGAGGCTCCCACGAGATAGAGAGAGGGGCGACGAACCGATTCAACGAAACTAGTCTTGTGACAAGAAAAAGGACTGGAGAAGTTCTGCACCCGGAATTAAGAGGCGGCAGAAAGGAGTAGACGCGTAAAAAAAAACTTGAGTAGCGGTGGATGGCTAGCCCAAAGACTATGCGTGTTGATTTGAGAGTTGTAGTCGTGTCCGCACAGAGGCAGGAATACGGGCAGGGGTGGTTTTTTGGGAGGTTTTTAAATTTTTTTTGGATTGTTTTTTGGTTGAGTTTCAACAAGTGCAAGGACAGAGAATCAGGTCTAGGACCGTACCTCTGAACCGACTCGCGTTTGGGTTTTGGGTTGATGTGGGATAAAGGGTGGTGGTGGGAAGAAAGAGGAGGAGAGGAAATTTCGTTCTCGAGATGATATTTTTTTTCCCTTCGCAGGCGGCCACATTTTGCGCGGGCTGGTGCATGTGGAGTGTCTCTTCACAGGCTAGTGCTTGAGTGGCTGATGCAGCGGCGCTGGTAGCAGATGCCGTGTACCCAGGTACCTAGGCAGCTCTGAACTTTAAGTTCAATGTCGGTTTGTAGTGCTTCAGAGGTCGACCATGCAGCCTGTACTCAGAAGTACTTCACTGTTACTTTTCAAGCCTGGCTGTGAACCACCTCCACCGCCTTTGTTAACATTTGACACAATCTAAGCCTTGACCGCGTGTAGGGTGGACGCTTACGCACAGTCCAAATTTGTTTGTGTGTGGTGGAGCTCCACAGTCTGAACCAAGATTTTTCGCGCACAGTATCAAGTACCGACACAGAGGGCAAGACATGATTGCTGGGGAAGCCGCGACTTGGCGGCATGAGGGCTGATGCCACTCATTCATCCCTTGCACCGTGAATTGCTCGGCGGGCTCAGGCTTTTTGCTGGGTGCGCTTATCCCCCTACTATTTAATGTATTTAAACTCTCCATACTCAAGTAATTCATGGTAAAGTATATTTATCTATCATAGAATATGTACTCATATATTATAATATAAAGCCTGATAGCCAGGTACCTAGTAGGGCGTGAGCGCACCTAGCGAAAAGAGTGAGCCCGCCGAGCACTCACCTTGCATCACATGTACCCAAACATGGAACCTACCAAACCAACCCGGACTGCCAACTTCATCAAGCCTGTCATTTGACCCTAGTGGCTTCAATGCCAAGGAAAACCCTGAATTTCTCACGGCCTTTTGATTTGACAATTTGGCAGTTCAATGCGCCTGTGGCCCGTATGTACAATACAATAATAATCAATGCAGCAGCGGTACGGAGTAGCAGCTTATTATATGCAGTAGCTTCTGTTGTTATCCAATGGGCAATCTCAGCTTCCGAAGCACAGAGTAGAGATGCATGAGCATGGGATCTGGCACCCTTGCGACTCTCCGTGTTTGGTGACTATTCAGGGCTGCTTCATTCTTTGTGCAGACAAGACTCTTTTGAGCGTCAGACACCTGGACCCATCCAGGGAGACAGCCAAGCTGTTCTATGCACGGGATACTGTCTGTTCAACATTCAACGGCTCAAATATAATGACTGAGAGGAAACAGCCCATCACATGCATTTTGCCTTGAATGTTCGTTCTTATGGACTCCAGGTCGTGTGCCACGGCTTACCTAAGCAGTCCTGCCACTGGACTGTTTCTGGCCTCCCCACGTCATGCCACCGCCCGCCTAATACCCCAGCCAGCTATCCAACCTTGCATGTGCGTACTACCAGTGCTTCGGGCCATCTCGCGAGCTTACCAACCATCCGAAACGTCTAGAATTCTAATCATCTCGGACGCACCCAAATTACCAGCTGAGCCATCTGGCCTGTAGAGACACTTTGGTTTTATCTACGAGCAGCCTTTGTATGTGAGTGATGCTGTTGGGCCTACCACTATGTTCTCGACTTTTACTGGCAGTTCGAGGCGTCCCCGGAACGTCAACCTGAGCGGGCAAGCCGGTAACCCCTTTGCCAATACATCATGGAGTCCGGCTGTCGTCTCCAACACAACGAAAACCGTATCAGATGCACAGGCCGAGCGAGAGAAGCGGCACTTGGAAAGGCAAAGATTAAAAGCTGCTGGCAGGATCCAACGAACATGGCGCGGTCACCTTGCACGGCGCAATTTGGCCGATGAAAGACGAGTTGTCTTTGATAACTTGTATCGCAATTCTTCAGGAATTTCCGTGGCGGAACGTTTGCCTGTTGCTTTTAACCTTCTGCTCTCCTTCTTCTCCCGACGATCCGACGTTGATATCCAAAGATCTTGTTTGTTTGCACGAGACTGCGAATCAGCACATATCGAACATATTGCCCCGCGCGGTGTCCATAGATCACGCCTCGGGCAACTGGCTAGTATTCTTGTTTCCACATTACATTTTGTGGCTTCAGAAAAGTACGTCTATACATGCACCTGATGGTACGACTACCCACAGAATAAACACTGATTCAAGTCTCAGGGCGCTGACTTCAGACGTCTCGATCCTCCTGAAACTCATCACCCGACTGACAGTCTACGACTCTCATGCGATGAGAAACTCGCTTGACCAATACTACACTGCCCTCGCCAGTCTATACAGCAAACGAGAAGCTGAAAAATGGAACGAGCTGTTGTTCACGTCTCTGGCAACGCCTCTTCAGGCCAAGTCGGGCAGTAGTAAGTTCTAAGAACTTCGGGGCTGCTAGAATCAGCATGCTAACTGCATTGATTTAGGGGCAGCCTATAAAGCTCTTGCATTCAATTTCTTTACGAGAGGCGACTTGTATCTTTTCGAAAACAACAACCTCCTCCTATCCCGGGCAATTAATGCTGGCAAGCTCGCTGAATCCATCTGTTCTGTTTATGGATCCTCGCCTCCGACATTCCCATCCAGGGGCAGTCTCCTGTGGCTATTGGCGCATTATATTGGTCTCGGCCGTGCCTCGCTCGATTCATCCGCCAGGCTCGCCTACCTAAGAGCTCTTTTGGTGCAATTATCCTTTCTATCATCAGAGATCAGTATAAGAATGAGCTTCAAACCCCAAGTCGACGATTCGGACGACGAAATTGAACGCAGCTCGTTGCGGGCCCTTGCGCCATATATCTCCTCCCAACTGCTATCACTTGTAGATCATGATGGAATATCCAATGTTCTTTCTGACTTTTCGTCCAACTTGGCTCGTTCTGCCACAGAGGAGTCTTATGGAACTAGCCTACTCGCGGGCTACATATTAACTCTTCTACACTGCTTTCCGGCTAAAGCTGATGATACAAGAATGAGATTGTTTCTCGAGCAAATACCGACTGTCACCGGACACGTACCTACGGTTAAATTCCTTTGGCAGATTATGCGACAGACTTCGGTATTTGCGAAATTAAGAACAGAGTCAGAAAACCCACTGGAAGTCATCCGCCGGTATTTACAAAGCTCGTCCCAGTTGTCACAGGATAGTACCGAGGAGCAAGAGTGGCGAGTGATTCTTCTCTTTTTGGAGCTTTATACATTTATCCTGCGCCTTAGCGATGACGAGGACTTTTTAAGTGGCATGAAGACGCAAATTATTGATAGTGGTGCTTCCGACTCTCGTCTTCGTCAATGTAGCCTATCACTGGTGGATGTTGAGGCCCTGACAACGTTCTTGAAAAACGCAGCTTTCGTCCTTCTCTATCAGGCTGGAGACCTGTCACAGTCACAGAAGACCACAGACACAGCAACAAAATCACGACTTGACTCATATTTTGGAGCTGAAAAGCACAGATCGGTATCGGCAGAGATAGCCACGTCACCTGCGTCCACAAAGGTTGATCTGGATGGCCTTCGTGCTATCATAACCACAGCCATCAAAATGCTCTATGAAAGGGACTCGAGAAAACATTTCCTCCCGAGAGATCACTGGTTGATGAATGCCAAACTTCAACAAGAAGACTTTATCAATGCCGTTATCACTGAAGAGGAACGACAGAGTCATGAAGAAGCAGAGACCGAAGATAGCGACGAAGAGGAGGTCACTGTGAGTGAAGGCTTCAACCAAGAATCTATTCTTTATTCAACTATGGCGGGCCAGCGGTTGTCTCGCCATGCTCGATTAGAGAGACTGAAGAGACAACAAATACGCGCCCAGAGGGAGCGAAGGCTGGCCGAAATGGGTCCAAAGTTGGAGATACTAAAGCACATGCCCTTCGCAGTTCCTTTTGAAACTAGAGTCAAGATTTTCCGCCAGTTTATTAACCTGGACAGAATACGACAGGATGGGAACAGCCCCTTCGGGCCGGCACACCCCTTCTCCAGACACTATGCCAAAATTCGACGCGGCCGGCTCTTCGAGGATGCGTTCAACCAATTCTACCAAATAGGGGACGGACTCAAAGATACTATTCAAATCACCTTTGTCGACCAATTCGACACACCCGAAGCGGGTATCGACGGTGGTGGTGTGACCAAGGAGTTTCTCATTGGTGTAACCTCTGAGGCTTTTGGAAACACTGAAGGTGGCGCAGGGATGTTCAGCTCCAATGAACAAGGGCTGCTCTTCCCTAATCCTACAGCTGTTGACACACTCCGCGAATCCCTTTGGCGACGAGGCCTAAAACAAGACGATGACGAGTATAGGGACAAAGTGAATGCTTTATTGAGGCGATTCGAATTCCTTGGGCGCATTATCGGCAAGTGTCTATATGAAGGTATTCTGGTGGACTTGGCGTTTGCTGGTTTTTTCCTCCTGAAATGGCCATCCGCTGGTCCCAAAGACGAAAACGCATACAAAGGGAACATTAACGACTTACGAGACATGGACGAAGAACTGTACAAGGGCTTGCTGCGACTGAAGAACTATCCTGGTGATGTATCTGAACTATGCTTCGACTTCACCGTCACAGACCAGGTCTCTCCACCTGGCGCTCCGGTCA